CAAAATGAAACCCTACTTGTTAACATTCACTCCCAATTCTCCTTTCCCCTCAGCCTCAGGCAAACACTAATTTACTTTCTGTGGCTATGGATTTATCTGTTCTGGACATTATATACCAATGGACTCATACATGTGGTCTTCTGTGACTGGCTTCTTTCAGTTAACACAGTTCATTAATATTGTGGCATGTCTCAATATCTTGTTCCTTCTCATTGTATGGGCAGAATACATTTTGTTTATTGTTTCATCAGTTGATGGACTTTTCAGTTACTATGTACAATGCTGTGATGAACATTCATGTGTAAGTTTTTGTGTGGACAGATTTTCATTTCTCTTGACCGTATACCTAAAAATGAAGTTAAGTCCTTTGGTAGCTCCAGGTTTAACTTTCTAAGGAACCACTGTTTCCCAAAGTGGCTGCACCATTGTACATTCAGTGTCTGTAAAAGCAATTTTAGAGAGTCTGATGAAAGCAATGAATTATTTCCTCAGAAAAATGCCCATACACAAAACTTATAGACAACTTTAAAACCAACTGGAAATGGAATAAATCGGGAGCAGAGAAAGCATTAATGAAAGCTAAGTATTGGGTGTAGCTGGTATTGGAACCTCCAAGTGAGACGTTTCCAGATCTCTAAACTAGTGACCACGTGTGCGTGGTAGGGGGCAAAGGGAGACAGGGCACATATGTAACGTAACTTCTATACAACCTAGAAAATGCTCAAGTGCAACATGGCCAGAGATGAGGGGCATATACAGAGGGAATTATTTTTGCTCTAAACTTTCACTTTTTCTTCTCTCTCTCTCACCTGTCTTTTAGGTCAAGAAAGGATTCTTATAAGAGAGGGCTTAAACTGAGTCTTGAAGGAAGCTGGTCAGGTAAGAAGGAAGAAGGGCATGTCTCAGGAGAGAGAGTGCAAGAAAAATAAAGGAATGAAATGTTATTTCCTCTGCAGTCATGATGATAAATGGTAACATGTTAAGTGACTGCAATCTAACAGCTGTGCTAAGCATTTCCCATTTTTTGGATTTCATTTAATCCTCTCAATGATCCTATGTGAGAGGTACTATTATTATTTTTGTTTAACTGATGAGAAAACTCAGGCCCAGAGAACTTTGGTAACTTGCCCAAGGTTATTGTTATTCAGAAAGGAATTGGCAGGGCCAGAATTTATCATAGGCAAAAGATATACTCAAGGGTAAAGTCACCAGGGCCTAAAAGAAACGGTGAGATTTTAAATGATTACCATATTTAGAGACAGAAATATGAGGTACTTTTGAATCTATCAAATCAAAATTAAGGCTTAATCGCACCAACCCACAGGATTTATATGTCCCATCAATTACCTCTTTATGGTACTATCATTCAGTTGAATTCCACAGTAATCATTTAAAGCTCTTGAGGAAAAAGTATGTATTTGCAAGGTTATTATTCGGGATGCACAGCTAATCTGGCAGCATGTTACACCACCAATCACAGCCTGTGCTCAGACTACACATCCTGCTGGCTTCAGGCCAAGTGTTAATGTGAATCAGCTAACACTTACCAGCAACTGGTGGGATAAACACAGCACTGTAGAAAACCATTCTCCTAACAGGATGTGTATCAATGCTGAGGGTATTTCTGTTCAAATGACAAACTTACATACCCTCAACCACACTTTGCATTCTTTAGGATTTCCCAGAGGAAAAACAAACAAAAGACAACAAATTGCACTAAATCTCTAACAAACTAAGAAAGATGGTATTTTAGGGTTAAAGAGAAAAAAGTTAGGAAGAAGAAATTGTGTAAGGACCCATCAACAAAAAACAATGCCCAGTATTGGGGAAGGATACCTTACAAGTGAAAATCAACATATTTATTTTTATGACTACTGGGTAATGAGTGATTATCATGTCACCCCAAGCAACTGCACCTTGTGAATCAAATACATCTGACACTTGGACAATATGGCACTTAGGGGCATGTCATCTGTCCCACAGCTGAAAATCCACACATAACCTTTAACTCCCCCCAAACTTAACCACTAACAGCCTACTGTTGACCAGGTCTCACAGACAACACAAACACTCAATTAACACATATTTTGTATTACTATATGTATTATATACTGTAGTCTTACAATAATATCTAAGTGGACCCACTGCAGTTCAAACCTGTGTTGTTCATGGGTCAACTGTACCTTTATACTTATTATCACAGACACTGAAACACTTATTAAATCACTTCTTTCCATGACTAGCTCACCTGTTCTTAGCAATAACAAACAGGTCATCTTCATCATGGTCCTCAAACAGGCTGGTCTTTTTCACAGCCTTGGCCTCCTGGACCTGGGTGGTCCCAGAGTCCCGAAGTTCTCCTTTAGACCTATTATAAGGTGAATCAGTAATATTCCACTGGTCCTTAAAATATAAAATGTATGTTAAAATCCAGTAGTAATTTAGACTGAGGAACCAGGGAAGTAAAATAATTCATCATTAAACAAAACTGTATTTAAACTAAGCATTAAATTAAGTACATTACTCTTGAAGAAAGCTGACGTCCAGGACTTTTCTTTGAAGTCAAATCTAGACAGCTGGGTTCTCTAGCCTCAAAGACATTCTCTTACTTTTCTCCTCCACTGCCTGCCACAATGTTTCCCCCATCTATGGTTCTGTTGTGTGTTAGGACAAGGGAAGTTATCTACTTTAGGGGTTGAAAATTAATTTTAGAGGGGAATGAGAAGGAAGAGTGTTGAAAAAAAACTAACACTTGGAGGAAAGTGATATTTTAATTTAAAAACCTCAATGCAAGTTGGAAAAAAATGTGTAAAAAGCTCATGTAAACAAGACACAGTGAAGCTGCTAGTGACCTTTTTTAACCACAAGTCTGAATCTGGCCTTTATAAAGCATTTGAGGGAAACCCCACCTGGCTATGCTCACCCCTTCATATCAAGTAACTCTTGAGCGCTTGCCAAGTGGTCCTTTGGTCTCTAGAGTCTAGGGCTTCAGAAATCAAAGTGGGGTACACAGGAAACACCATTGGTTATGTAGAATCTCAGATTTCACCCCGACTTTCTGAATCAGAACCTGCATTTGTAACAGGATGCCCAGGTGATTTCTCCACACTTTTTGGTTTGGGATATGTTTCTCTAGAACAGTGACACTCAACAGTGACTACATGCTAGAATCTCTGACAGAGCTTTAAGAAATTCCAGTGATAGACAATACCCAAATTAAACAATTCGTAATCTCCACTGATGGAATCCAGTATCACTACTCTTTAAAGTTCTACAGGTGATTCCAATGGGCAGCCAAGGTTGAGAGTCACTGATCAAGACCCTGGGTTACCTTCACTTGGCCAGTACTGTTGCTCCTGGCTTTGGCAAATGTTTTTACTTTCCCGGAACCACAGTAATACTACGGTAGGAAAATGTCCTATCATGACGACGGGCCTTTACTACAGGGAGAATAAACAACTAACAACAATGCTAAGAATAAAAAAAAGGAAAATCCATGATAAATTCATACATTTGAGTAGAAAAAACAAATTACGTTGTATAATTTAAAGTTGCTTTCCATAAAAAACATTAACATGCCTCTGGTTTATCTATCTACATCATACCCTCATAATTTGCCTATGATATTAAAATGAGAAGGAGTAATTATAATAATGAAGATTTTTAATGCTTACAGTTTTTAATATAATGTATGAAGTCTTTTTCTGTATAGCTCAATCTGAACAGCAGATAAATTATATTTACTACTGGCTCTGCTTATATGTATGTAGATACAGCAAATGGATCAAGACTCACAAAAAAGGAGTTCAACTTGCAAAAGCATACACCTACATCTAGCTATAGTTCTTAACTAAACACAGTGATCATTTAACAAGTTAAAATAAGGCCTAACTCATTTGATTAGCATATATTACAATTTCAGGGACATATTTTATTCCTAACCATTTTGAAAAGATTAATCTTTTAAGTTAGTATATTAAGTACCTTTCTTCAAAAAAACAAGTCCTGTGAACATACAAGTCTTTGGTGACTGAACTTCACTAGATGTAAAAAAAGATAGAAAAAGAAAATGTTTAGGATAGCTTTAACTCCTAAATCCCATCAAACTATCTCTTCCTCTTTTCTAGGAGAAACTTTCAACCCACCTCCTCATCATCACTGCTGAAAAATAAGGCAGATGCTTTTTTTCTAGAGGGCTCAGAGGATTTTGATTTCTCTTGACTCTGAGTTAGTAGAGATGATGTCTGTTTCTTACCAGCTGTAGTCCCAAAAAGATTATCCTAAAAAACAAATGGCAAAATGTTCATACACTTAAAACTTCATACACATGAAACTAAGGGTCTAAGACAGTCTCTCAGATCAGA